GCCAAGAAGAACCGCATCCCCTTCGAGCTGCGCACTGTGGACCTGCTCAAAGGTGGGGCTCGGCCACAGGACTAGGGGTTGCCAGATGTCTTTGCTGTGGTTTGTGGGGTGGGGGAGAGCCCTCCTTAGAAGGGACTTGGGGAAGCCAGACCTTCTTGGGGGGCTTAGGGAGGCCAGGTCTTTTTAGGGGGGACGGAGGGAGGCCTGGTGCCATAGTGGTTACACATTTGGCTGCTCATGCCCGGGCCGCTCCTTTGGAGAAAGACAGGCTTTCTATTGCTAGAAAGGGTTACCGCCTTGGACACCCACAGGGGCAGCCCTCCCTCCTCTCCCCTGCAGGGACGCTATCAGTCAAAACTGGCTAGCTGGCAGTGAGTTTTAGGAAGGCCAGACCTTCTTGGGGGACACGAGGGTGGGGGGCTAGCCCTCTCTTAGGGCAAGGGTCAGGGCAGACCTCCCTTTAGGGGGTTGGGACTTTGGAGAGGCCAGACCTCTCTTGGGGGTTTCCTAGGGCAGCACAGGGTCGGGTTTGGAGACTAGGCCCAAGGGGATGAACCACCAGGAAGACCTCCTCCCAAATCCTGGTCTGTCCAGAGAACAGAAGACACTGAGGCCGGAAACGGGGAGGGCTGGGGGTCAAGAGAGACAGTCCTGGCCAGACAGGAAGGGGGGTTAGCAGGGCCAATTCATTCTGCCTCACAGGGAGGCTAGCAGTCAGTCAGCCGCTCGGTAAGAAGTAGACAGCCTCACAGACAAGAGCGTGCAACAAAGGGAATCCAGGGTAGATCAACCCCTCAGGGCCAACAAGGAGAGTAGAGATACCAGGGGGATCAGGAGAGGGTGTGGGGAGAAGGGGGGAGTCGATCACAAGGATCAACCTAGAGCCCCCTCCCAGGGGACAATGTAAGATATGGAAATAATAATCTATAACTTATCAAGGGTTCGTGAGGGAGGGGAGGGAGAGGGGGAGAGGGAAGAAATGGGGAGCTGATATCAGGCCCTCAAGTGGGAAGAGAATGCTTTGAAAATGATGATGGTGGCAAATCAGACCTTGATCTATTTACAGGTTTTTCTTTCTTTA